AGAGTTAGATGCCCTGACTCCCTATACAATGCACAGGGAGAGAGATATGCATCAAAAGGATGCAATTCACAAAGCCAGAAAACAGAGCAGTAAACGCCAAGAGGGACATGGCCTAATCCCTGCCCCTCAAAGGGGCTTCGGTACCTAACTCTGGGCTGGAGGGGGGGCCCCGAATTCTCAATGCACAGGCCATGAACCTTGTCCTGGAGTGAGATACCTAAACCAGGTCAACCCTTTCTCACACAAATTGGACACCACACCCTTATACCCAACAGCCCAGCAGTTAGAGCCAGTTCAAATCCCCACTCTGCCTGTGAACCCAGGTCTCCCCCTCTGAGGTGAGTGCCTTAGCTACTGGGCTGTAGGGTATTCTGGATGAGAGTTTAAGCTGTTCCACTTTGCTCCAATGAATATTTTATATATGGACTGGAACCTGGGTCTCCTAAGAGACAGCCCAAATCACTGGGCTAGAGTCAATTTTCACTCTCAGGCCCAATGAATATTTACATATTTTATACAAAGTGGAACAGCTTCATCAAGAGACCAACCCCAGAATACCCCAGGGGTTAGGGCACTCATCTTGGAGGTAGACCTAGGTTCAACCGCCTCTTTCACATCCTGGTGAGTGCTCTAACCACTGGACTATTGGCTACTAAGGGAGAAGGAAGTGCCCCGATCTGGTAGGCATGCTCTCTGGTGGCCTTGGAGCACACCTGCTGTAATGGGTGAGATCGATTGAGGGAGAGGGATGCTTAGTCTTAGAATCCTGCCAGGCTTGGGTGGCTATGCACATGTCCATTGATGAGGTGGCAGCTGAGCTGGGGTTTTGAGGATCTAAATTTTTGAGATACCCCTGAGTGCTCCCACCATTCATGTCATTGTTTTATTGACCCTGCTGGGAGGTGAGAATGCACAAAACTTACAGGAGTTGACACAAGGTCAGTCACTAAAAGACAGCAGCAGAGAGCAAAATGCTATTTTCCCACTAATTTATTTCATCTAATGGATACCTGTTGTGGATTCCAGGTGCAATCCACACCAGTGAGGGTTGTCACTACTTGTCCTCCAACTCTGCGCGTCTTACAATACTTTGCTGCTGTAGCTCCCAGCCTGGGATACTCACAACCAGCCTACAAGCATGCAGGTCACACCCTGAAGTCTGTGTGTGCTAGACAGCCCTGGTCCAGCAGCTCTGATCCCACCAGCCTTTTCTACAACCCCATGCTCGTTTCCACCTGCCTTGGTTACAACCAGTAAGGTGACCCCTGAATTTCTCCAAAACCATGTGCTCTGTCCAGTCCATTCCTGGACAGTTCAGAGAAGTAATATGGTTTCTTTGTTCAAGACACACAAGCATACCACATTATTAACTTGCGTAAATACACCCCTCTAAACACCGCACTAAGTTGGTTTACAGTAAAAAATAAAACAACCTCTGTTCTGTTAATAAATTTAAGTGATGCCAAGTAAAAGGAATAAAGTTAGAGTTGCAAGCAAATAAAAGTGAAAACATCCATCTAAAACGTAATCTGGCATGGTACAGGCTTTGTTCAAGATGGTTCCTCTTACCAATCTTCCTTCTTCTCAGCCATGGCTGACTTTCCCTCAATCAGGACCTTCCAGAGAAGCACAAGGGGCTGGCTTTCCTTATCTTCCTGGATTGAAAGATCTTTGCCTAAGCAGGTTTCTTACCTATATTCAGTTTCCGGAGACTTCAATCAGAGTTTGGCTGAAAAACCCATCTTTCTCAGCTTGCTAGAGCTCTGTTCCCTTGTGTCTGTCTAGTGGAGGATGCCAAAAATGGCTTCTTTCTTTGCTTATATCTTCCAAAGCTCAGTAACTTAGTTTCAAGAGACAGGATGTCCTCATGCTATTCTTCCCTTCTCATGGGCTTTCCATCCTGCTGCATGTAAATGAACCTTCCATTCTTTTGATTCCACATACAATCATAATTCACATAGAAGACAGGTAAGTAACTGCCATTTCTCCTCATTGGCCACAGACTTTAAAACGTAGTAATATTATGTAAGTATCCATATTTCCTCAGATAGTGTTAATACATACATTTCACAATAATATTATTGTCACATTAGTTTTCTGCACACTTTTAGAATACAGTAATATTGTATACAATCAGTTGATTCATTTGCTTATCACTTGAGGTTCAGTCCCTGCCCTTCCGCCCCCCCCCCCCACTTTTATAAACTAGTAAACCATTGCAATGTATTCTTCTGAAGGTTACCCCACAAAGTAGTTTATTCTAGCTGTAAGGAAGGCAACATGAAGTCTAGTGGTGAAGGACACTACATTCTGTTTCTCCCCTCATTTGTTAGCTTAATAACTTTGTTTACCTAATATGTAAAAATGGACCTGCATTGTCTTCATCTGAAGATTGGGCTGGACAGAGAATACAATAATACCTAAGGCAGACCTATTTAACCAACTCCACCTGACATGCTGGGTTTAAGCACACTTTAGTCATAATTCTAGCATACATTCATAATTCTTAATACCCACCATGTACATACATCACAAGAATATTAATGATGAGTTATTAGTTTTCAAATGATACCTCAAAGGCATATTTTGTGCAAAGATTATTACAGTAGTGTGTAGGGTGTGAATACAGGGGTGCTTAGTATCACAACACCTGCCACTGTAAAACCTAACCCGTCATTTTTGGTTTTTCAACTGAAAAATTCCCAGGTTTTACAAAAGCTATTTAATCAGTTTTTAAGCTATTTTCACCCAAAGTTTGAACTGCTCAAGTACATGAAAATACTGATTATATGAAGAAAATTCAATACATTACATCAGGTAAATGTGTTTGTTAATAATAAATTAGTCTAAGTAACGCAACATAGTGGAAGTTACACACACATGGACGCACATGTACACTGGTGCTCAGCTCTTAAAACAAAGCATTGGCACTCTGTAGGCCCTGAACCAGGGGAGATGGTGGCTTGGTAACCCAGGTTAGTGCTCACCACTCCCCAAGGGGGGGAGGTGGAGGGGGCAGGTTACTGAATTGCTTTCTCTCCTTCCAGAGTGGGAAGCTGAGTCAGAAGTAATCTTACTTTTCTCTATACACTGCCTTTTCCCCCCCTGTATTACCCAGAAAACTGTGAAGTAAATTTTTTGCACCAATTTTCGTAATAAACACCCAGAAAATTTTAAACAAAATTAAAACCAAAAACAAAGGGTCTTGTTAAAACCCATCAGTTACATTAAGAAAAACCTTTCAGTAGGCAGCCTTGGCCCTACTTCACACCATACAACTCCTGCTACAATACCTAGAAATCTTAACCTTTCCGGACCATCTGTCTTAGTTCTCCAATTCTAATTCTTGTAACTCTGCATCCCCATCTCCCTGCTGTATTACCCTGGGCTAAGTACAATTTCAAATAATAGGTGTACAGATCTCTGTGAACTGCTGTCATTTTGTTGCCTTTATTCCCAGCCAGCGGAAAAGTAGCTGTGCTGCTGTGGCTGGAGCTCTTTACACTTGTGAAGTAGGAGGGAGAAATTGCATATTAAATGCAGAATTGAACCACTTAATACTTCTACCAATTGGCGTTATATCTATGGCAGGGGAGAATATAGTTCCTTTTCCCCAAAAGAGATGTTGTTTCTTTAGCATTGCATTTATAGGAAGTACACTGTGAATACAGTTTATCTACTTATTCATGACAGATACAGTATAGATATATAGGCAGCAGACTTGCTAAGGCTTAAGGCCATGTTTAGTAGCATTCTAGTTCTGCAGTTTTAAAATAATTTTTGATGTGAGACAGTCAGGACACTTCTTTTGTGAACCTGACACAGGGAAGATTTGAAAAATGCTGCTACTTGCTCTCACATGAAAGCCAAACCATATTTCAAACCTCAATGTATCAGTGAGCTGACACATTCTTGTAATTTAACTGTTTCTGATGTCTGTGGGGTTTTTGTTTGTTTTACAGGCAGCACGAGATGATAAAAGAAAAGGCATTTCATTTGCCAGTGAACTTAAGAAATTAACCAAGTCAAGTAAACAGTATCGTGGCTTCACATCATCACCTTTGCAGAGCTCACCAGACAATACCCAGACTAAAGATGAAAAATCTGCAGGCAGTTTGACATTTAGTGACAATATGGAATAACATCCATAAATGCCAGCAGTATGTTCTATGCAGGTATGACATGTGTGCTCCTTGTTTCTAAACCAGACATACTCTCTGTTGATTTTTCAAGGTACAATTTATAATTTTTTTTTCAAAAGTGTGCTTGGTAAACCATAGTGAAGTACAACAAGCAGCCAGAATAGTTCATGAAAACGCTCTACGCTTTTAGGTTATAACGCTGTACTGGCACAAACCTATACACAGGCAGTCCAATGAAAGCCTAACGATAAATGCAAATCTAAATGCTGTGAAAATTGCTAGGAACATAGGAGTTTTACTTTGCCTACTATGCCTGCATCGTCCTAGGGTCCATCACAGCAGGGAACCTGACAATGACCAGTCCTTTTAAAAGACTCTTAGAATGTAACTTGGCTTTAACATACACTGTGACAGTGAGTTCCACCGGTAATGCAGTGTGCTAACTGGTACTTCCACACAGGCTCTTAATTAAGAGATGCTGTCATTTTGTGTTATGGGACAGCTGAACTTTACTAAACATTAATTTATATGCATTTAATAATAATCAATTTAAAAAATATCTCTTATTCCTCTCTCCATACATAAACTCTTTTAAAATCTCTGTATATAAATACTTGTGGCGGAGTGTCTAAGAATTTTATTGTCCCTTTCTGAATCTTTTAAATTTCTTCTAGCTTGCTTGAGCTAAAGTGACAAAACCAAATGCAGAATCCAAGGCGACAGTGTACCATTTATGTATATGACAGACGATAGTTCCAGACACATTACTATTAGCACTGGGCCTACACTAACTCCAAAAGATGTTTTCTGAGAGGTCCCAGCTAGTTAAGATGGAAGAAAATCTTGCCCAAACAATTCTTAATAATCCCATATCACATGGAGCAGTGATACATTTCTGTATTTCCTTTCCACTCATTCTCAATGATCAAGATACTATTTATATCTACTGTGTCACTTCATCAGAATTCAAGTAATAAGGCTGCCAATATTTTGTTACAAAATTCCTTAAAAATGTATTTCATGGTATGCAGGCACCCATTTATACTCTTGTATTTGAATTTAAATGCTATCATCTCCTCTTCCCCTTTCCAGGTGACTTTAAAGGCCCTAAAATGGCAAAGGCAAAAAGCCCTTCTGAGGCTGACAAAAACAGAGGGAGATAGAGGAAATATGACAATCTTTCTCCACATAGCCTTGCATTTACTTGATAACTGGAACCAACATCACGGATTCCTGATTTAAGATATCTTTCTGCATTCTCCATGAAGGAAACTGCTGAGGCCTAAACTATTCAGCACTAGCTTGGCCTATTCCACACTGTGCTTCTTGGTGACAGATACAGATCTAGTAATGCTGAGTGGGATATTACAGTTTCTAATGTTTGGAAAGATGCTTGCCAGCATTTGAAAGAGAGATTCCTTTCTTCCCAAATATCTTCATAATCTGAAGATTAAGCAGACTTCTTAAATTGTACTTTGTAAACAGAAACATGTCTTTTTTAATAAACAAAAGATATAACTAATTGCTTTAAGGGAAGAGAATTAGAACTAGACTGTTCTATGTATTGTATGAAAATAATGCACCTTTAATGGTTCCTGTTAAACACTGTTAGGTGATTGTAAAAAGATTTACATAGACTGTAACTTTCTTGGCATCACAGATTTAATTTTGGTGATAAACCATAAATAACTATGGTAAGCGTTTTGAGTATATCTACTTTCACAAAATAATCATGTACAAACAGCTAAATACACCTAATTGATAGTGATATTTTGACAAGGAACATTTTCTTCGTTCAAATTCTAGTTTTCCAGGTTTGTGTTTCAAGTAAGAATGATTATTTATTTTCATGTTCCAAGGTATGTGTCACTGTGTAATATATTTATCATACCGTACTTTTTAAAAACTGCAGCTTCATCTTTTTTTGGTTTAGGGGAAAAAATAGTAATTATATTCTGTTGAAAAGAAACATTCAGAAAATAACTATTTGAAGCATGCAATTGCTTAAAGTTTCAATTGTGAAATCTCAACATTAGTGTGTGTTAGAGAATGGAAAATATTATAGTCATCTAAATATTTTTTATAAATGAGAAAATAATTTCTGCTTATATCCAGAGTGTGTAAAGAACCCAGGCTACTCCATTTATTTTCCAATATAAACCTTGACTTGTTTATGTAGAAGCACTACTGTAAAGTTTTGTATATGTCTGAAATCATGATTTTTTTAAGAAGTTAGTTATAACTGTATCATATTCTTCAGTGTTAGTAAAAAGCAGTTCATACTGACTTATACAAAGTAAGAGCACAACTGAAACTGCTGAGGTCAATCATTCTTCTGATGTCCATACATAAGAACCTTGTCTAGTAACTAAACTGTTCAGCACAAGGTTGGCTACACTTCAGACCATATGACTGATGCAGGGATTGCTGTAAATCAAGAAATGGCAAATCAGTTAACTAAGTTCATAGGCCGGTAAGAGAAGCAAGGCTCCATTAAACAATCTGAAGTTGAATGAATTGTAGGGAGACGATTCAAGCAGTCTGATTAGCTAATATAAAGGGTATTAATTCTCTGTGCTGGAGGGTCTATATCCCCAGAAATGCCCTCTAGCCCAAAAAGCTGCTGTTTCTAACGAGGAGAATACAGAAAGAAGTTAGAAAGCAACTATCACCTTGTTGTGTGCAGGAAGTGTCCTCTTCAGGCTGATTCCAACATTAGAAAAAAAAATTAAACTACACATTCAAAACTCCCTTACTGAGGCATACCTAGTAGTCATTCACTGAACCCATGAACTTATTTTGAAATTCACCTATTTTAAAAATAGTAACCATACCAGCTATCCATTCTGAAGTCTGAGAAATTAGCAATATTTTCAAGCAGGGCCGTGTCACTTGTCTAAACATGGTTTTTAGAGTTCCATTGGAGAAGATTACACATAATATTTTGAAAAGTGGGTAGGCATATAGCAGCCACTGACTTTACAGGACCCTAAGCTGCTTAGGCTCTTATGAAAATCCCACTAGTCACCTATCTGCATCTTTTTTGAAAATGGGCCTTAGGCCTCTCAATTACTTCAGATTTCAGGGTAAAATTTTCAGGACTGTTTATGGTGAACAAAAATAGCTGCTCGAAAGTCCCTATGCTGCTCTTCGATCTAGTCCTTCCATATCTAATTCTAAAATAACCAGTCCCACTGTGAGAGATACGGGACATTCAGTCTCCATGGCACATAATGCAGAACTGATATTAAGTGAAATTACATGGTGTTTTATATGCACATTTCAAGCAATATTTGCATTGATAGTGTATAACTACTGTATATCTTTCATATGTCCTTTGGCTAAAGCTTAGATGAAGATCTGATCCCTTTTGTGTTTTAGTTCTTTTTATATATATCCCCTGCGATGCATGAAAATATTTTTTTATAAAAAATTTACCTTTCATTTGATAAATGGATTCTCCCTATTTCCAGTAGCACTGAAAGTAAGATGGTTGGTTCCTGCCAAATTTGGGCACCAGTATTAGCAGATGTGGGAGAAGCTTTTGTAAATCTACTACAGATCCAGCAGAAGGAGAACTCTTGTGTAGGAATACCACAAACATTGTAATTTCTCATTGCTACTAGACTTGAAAGAAACTTTAGATAAGGGCATCCTCAATTATAACATGTAAAGCAGGTAAAATCTGGCAGCCATTTAAAAAGCAACAGATTTGCACTATTCGTGACTAGCATACACTCTCTGTGTAACTGCAGGATGTAGTTTATCCATAAGGACATTTTCTCTTTGATAGTTATTTTAGCCTTGCCCCATTGTCATGAATACTTACCAGCTGCAGGACAATATCTACTTAAAAGCATAGTGGTAATGAGAAAACCTAGCATTTTGCATGTTCAGTTAAAAAAAAAAACATTTTACAGAGGTGGGCATGGTAGAATTTTCCAAAACTGATTATATTGAATTAGGGTGCTTTTTTTTCATTAATGTACATCGATTTATTTAAGTTTTAAAAAATAGGGAAGATTAATCAACTAATGCAAAAAGTAACATGTTGTTAATTGCATTCATGTTGTTTTGGTCACAGACAAAAGTAGAGGAAGCGCATAAGCTTTCCTTTTCATTAGCCTAAAAATCCCCCAAAATGAAATTATACAGAGCTATTACTCTTATGTTAAACAGCTTTAACTTATTTAAAACACCATAAACAGATGTAACATCAAGATGTTTGGTTAATAAGAAAATTTGTGCTGTTTATCCATAGGTTTCCTTTCTTCAAGAATACAAGTCCACAGATATATATTAATGGGTTTGATAGATGGACAGCTGTGGTTCTGCCTCCCTGGCAGTTCAGGCTGAATGCCATCATATGGATATGTGGACCTGGATTTGATAAGGAAACATTTTTATTACAAACTATTCATAAGAAATAATTTACCACAGCACAGTATATAATATAAACCTTCCCGAAACCTACAAATGATAGCAGGACTCACCATCGGCAGTCCACTTCCTATTACCTGTTTTGTAAAGAAAACATTTTATTCTACACTTAACCATTTTTTTAACCCTTCCTACCTATGTCTGTATTTGTTTCTATGTATAGTGAATGCTGGTATCAATGCTTGTATGGGATTGACTTTGGAAGCCATAGGTCTTGGCTGTGTTGCAACACTACTCAGTTTTCAGGAACTGGATTGTTGTACTGGCTGGTGTTCTGTCAAGTTTTAAGAAGATTAAAAAAAACAAAACCTTAAAAGATATAAAAGTACTGTGTCACATTTTAAAAACATACATCACATTTGTTTTTAGTTTTATTATTACTAATATTACTTGGTGGAATGTCTCAATAACCATCTCCTGAAAATAACAATTAGCCTCTAGAGTCCACTATCAAGTTACCAAGAATAAGATTTTAACAGAGAAGTATCTCAACATTAAGATCACATTCTCTTTAAACTCAGTTTGACTTTATAAAAGAGAACCTGTCAGTGGCTTTTTACTTCAAAAATGAGTCTTCAGCTTCTAGCTCTCAGAATGCAATTTAATTTCAGCAGATGATTATTAATCACTTTGTTGTTGCTAGCCTATTAGATGTAACGATGGTGGAGTGTTTTCTATTTGTGATCAACATTTCATAACTGCTGCAGTGCTACACAGTTGACAGAAGTAACAAACACAAACAAAAAATACAATAGCAGTAAATATTTCTCTTTCACACATATATTGGCTATTTCAAACTGATGTATTAGTTGTGCAATTGTCTTCATTCTGCTGCTTTAAAGTGTGTCAAAATGTTTTGTCAATGTTCTATCGGTATGTGCCAGTTTTTATAAATTTTACATAATTTAAAAACTATGTATTTTAAAACTGACTTTCCACCTGGACTACTTTTTCTCTGACTTGAAAAGTAAACTTATATTTGTATATGTTGGACAAATAAATGGTTTGCGAAGTGGACCTTTAGTTCTTCTTTCCTGAACTGCCGGCAATGGGGACACTTTCTAAAGTTTTCAAAACTTAAATCACATCTCTTATCCCCATCCCTGAGTCATTTAAGAACAGAAGTATTCAAATGCTATGGAGATGGGGGATTATATAAATTACTAAGAGACCTAGAAGACTATGTGGGATACTATTTGTACAAAGCCACAAGCATTCTATAGGTCCTTTTTACAGTTCAGGTAGTAAATATACTAATTTATAGGGACTCACAGTACCTACTTCAAAAGTGAGATTTTTGTGCATTTATGTCTTACTTCTTAGGACTATTTAACCTATTTTGATTGAAAATTGATAGCATGGTGATATTAAATTAGATATTTAAAACAGATTTCACAGTAATTATGGTAGCACCTAAAGGTCTGATCTGTTCTATAACAAAGGAAACATTTTCTAAGGCCTTGGCTACACAGGCACTGTACAGCGCTGCAACTTGCTGCACTCAGGGGTGTGAAACACCCCCCCCCCCCAGCGCAGCGCTGTAAAGCGCCAGTGTAATCAGCGCCTGCAGCGCTGCACGCTCACTCGCAGCACTGCAAGCTATTTCCCTCGGAGAGGTGGAGTACTTGCAGCGCTGCGAGAGAGCTCTCGCAGCGCTGGCAGCACGACTACACTTGCGCTTCACAGCACTGCCGCGGCAGTGCTGTGAATTCTCAAGTGTAGCCAAGGCCTAAGTGTTGAAGGTTACCAGCCACGTGAAAAAAGCCCCTGAGGGCAGGGATCATCTTTTTGTTGTGTGTGTGTGTGTGCAGTGCCTAGCACGGGGTCCTGGTCCATTCCTAGGACTCCCGGGTGCTATGATAATACAAACAACCACCACCTTGCACAACTGAAGCCTCCGTTGCATGGCATACCACACATCAAATCAGTTCTACACAAAGTCATATGTAAAGTGAATGTTAGACCTCTCACTTTTAAATAATTTCATGCAATTTATCTGCAAAGCTGACATGAAAATGGCATTAAAAATACAACTAATGCTAAGCTAACTAACCAAAGGCCGGGGACGAGTACTCATAAGACACACACACAAAAAAGTGTATATCTTTACCCTGAATCTCTTTAACGGTGCTGGTTCACTGAAGATATTGCAAAATGTCTCATTCTGTGACATCCAAAATACCATGAGTAGCACTGGAATTTAGCATATTATGATGCCCAATTCTGAAATACCTTCAATGGACCAGTAAGTACCAAGACGATTTCACTGAAAGTCATTTAAAAGAGAGAGATTAATGGATAGGGCAAGTTAGACAAGAGAAACAGTTCAAGTTATTGCTCTTGGGATGCAGAATCCCCAGATGTCTTCAAATAAGCATCAGAGAACGCAAACCTATGTGAATACTTCCTAAAATATGCATTCAGTTAGTTGTAAACAAACATAAACCCAATGAATCTCTTGCAAAATATATATTTATGTAAACAAAAAATATTGCAATAATATACATCTCAAGCAATATTGAAGTCACCTGCCTTCAGACTTTTATACTTCCAGAAGTTACTTTTGTTACAGTTCAGTATGGTTCCTGTGAGAATGCAGCCTACTTAGTTAACCAATAGGTTTTGGTTAACTGCAAAACACTGCTGTTACTTTGTGTGCATCAGCGATGGATCATACATTTTTATCTTTCCATAGCAGGACTTTATTTGAATTCCTGTAAAGATGACGGGCAACAATTTCTTTCTGCTATTCCCCCCCCCCCCCCATTTAAGAAGTCAATTATACTGGGTTGTAATACTTATGATAGGGATGATTCCTTTAAGTGTTTAGCAAAATCCAAGGGTCTGTGAACAGCAGCCTCATTGAGATGTGTCTGAATCAATTCCTTTAAATCTTCATTTAGAAATGAATCCCCTTGTAAAAATTTATCCTGGAAAGAATCAAAATGTTATATATTTTACATCATTTATACAACTATCTAAATAAGGTCAACATAGGGGTTTCCATTAGTGTCTCAAAGTAGTAGTGATAATTTTACTACTTTATTTTTCCTTCCCTAGACCACCTTCTGAAGGTGAGGACAGCAAATGTTCACTGATCCCTATTCACGTAGCAGGGAGAGCTTGTCAGTCTGAGAAAGCACTTACTTTCTAGACATGCTTTCTTCTTCTTTGTAACTAAGCTAAGGGGAGCTTGCCACATCAAACTATTTTCCTCTCCATTTTTAATAACTCTTTCTTTTAAGAATACTACAGTGTGAAACACTGACTTCCTCTCAAAAAACTGTCCTCTAGCCTCCAAGGAGAGGCACAGAAGGCAAAAGGAGCCTACATTTCCACTCATGGTTTCTGTCAAAGGGCCTGGACAGAAGTGCGCTGTCCCACTGAAGTATGTTGCAAAGGCCTACGGCAGGCAGACTCCAGAGGAGAAGCAAGTGAGCCAGAGTATGGCAAAACTGAGATACTATCAGAGTTTGTTAGAGAAGCAATAAACAAGACCCCAAATTAAATTTAAGAGACCTAAGTCACTTTAACGTAAAACAACGTAGAGTTACTGATTTTTTTTGTTATCTATATTCAAAGGTATTACATGCTAGGTATTCTCACTCAAGTACTAGACATTTCTACTTCCATCTGCCAATCCCAGTGCTGCTCTGCCAGACATGCAGCTAATGTGATAATCCAGGGGAACAGGCAAGTTTACAAGCTATTTTCATAGGAGTCAGTTACTTATTTAATAAGGAAATTCTGTGCTGTCAGAGGACTTTGCTGACATTAGTAGATTATCAGTAGGAGACTCCATTGCAATTCATAGGTTACCACACTTTCAAAAGAGAAAGTGGGGATAAAGTCTCACTTTATAAAGGGAAGAGCACTCGTGTGACATGTAATAGGAGCTATCAGTTGGAGAATGTTTCATAGTGAAGCTCTGTGACATGTTAACCTTTTTTTTCTCCCATAAAAGCTCTATGTTCCCCTCTTATATTTACACTTTTCAGTTACACACTGGCACTGATTACGCTGAATCAGGGCTCTGGGAACTTGGCCATCCTGCTGATTCCAGACTCTGAGACAAGAAAAGGCTTTTACACAAAGGCAATAGAAGCAAACTTGCACTGAGCCACAAGACAGCGTGACAGCTCAGAAAAATAACAGACACTACATTCATATTATTACACATGCTCATACTATGGGAGATGGAACTATTCATACAATTTCTCTTCTTTCACAGTCAGCAGTCAACAATATCTCACACCAGTAAAGAGAACTTAGCTGGGAAAGCACTCTGGTCATAGAGTCAAAAACCCTTGGTGCTGAGCAGTGAGTCTGGAGTTCTAGTATCTATTTGGGTGTTTAAGAAAGGATGTTGAAAGAGACAGTACCTTTTTCCTAGGTGTAACAGATGCTACAGGAGGATTAAAAGTCATTCCTTTCATATTATATGTCTCAAAAAGTTCTGTGCCAGACCTATAATACAAGATCAGTTTTACACAATTAAAAGAAACAGTATAAAGTATATGTCCATAAAACGAGTCTCATTTCAGTACTCTATGAACTCAAAGTAACCTGCTCCTCAAATCACTACTTCAGTCATGCAAGGGAAGAATAACTGGTAATACAGAATATCAACTGGAAAAATGATATGAATCAGAAATGTTGAGGTAGGACAAATAGACAAATTAAAAGCATGTAAAGAGGCTTTAAATTATTATATTGAGATTAACTACATAGCTGCGGCATGAACAAAGATGGAAATGAGGGAGATTAGAGTCCAGCTCACAGAGACGATTGCTGTGCATGCCTGACAAAGTTCGACACAGTCGTCTATCCTCACACTAATTTCCATCAGTACATACTCCAGAACCCTGCACCGCAATTGGTTTTCATTGAACTGTCACAGCCCAGCAACGCTGCTCGTTATTAAGATCCCTAGGCTGCTACTGAGCAACACAAAGTGCTTTTGCTCCTCTGCGGGCAGAGAATGCTGCATTTGCAGGACTTTTATTCTCTGCATGGCCAGGAAACAAGCCCTTAGAAAAAGCAGCCAGCTTTTGGTACTTATAGAAGAACCATCATACTTTTGTTCTTCAAAAAGTAATTTTCTTGCAGCATATGGAAAATTACTCACTGGGGAAACTTATAAAACAGAACAAACAGCTTCTACTTTGCCAATGAACTATTTTTCAAAACATATGCATCGTATATCCCACCTTCGGCTCAGATCCGGTCTGAGAGCTTCTGAACCTTCAGCTGGAGCTCCAGCAATAAGGTGATCTGCAAATTTCTGCACTGTTGGATGATAGTGTCTCTGAAAGGAAGGAAGGGGATTGGTGAGGGATAGGATAGCATGTACTTATGTACTTCACCAATAATAATAATACTGTATTTATACACTGCATAGAAAACTTTCAGCAAACTTCTCTTCTGTTTCAGGATGAGACTAAGGATTAGCCAGTGTTCTGAGGGTTACACACGCTATGTTTACAACTCATAAAACCACTCAAATAGTTTGGATGCAGTGTCCATGACAGTTTCACTATAGTTAATCTTAACTCTTTTTCTTCCAGTAGATAGTTCTAGCCAGGGTTATAGACAAACATTTTCCATTATCTATTTGCAGAGATAGGCCTTAAATAATTTCTGGAATGAGAAGGCTGTATTAAAAGCATACTGATAAAACATAAGGGCCATAAAGGTTTCCATTAGGCTAATAGCTCCACTGAAACAATTTATCAAACAAACAGGTTAATGTTAAGATTTCCCTTCCTGCCATCTTTGTCCCTGCCTCAGATGGGTAGTTAATCTCAGTATAATAATTTAAAGCCACTTCACTTGTTTTTAATTTGTCTAGTTGGTGGAGTTTTTAATTTGTCTAGTTGGTCTAACACTCAACTCCATATCATTTCTCTGTTTATCTGCAACACAATAACTTTGCAATGCCACATCCCAATCAATTTCAAAATTAACAGAAATGTTCTGGGCACTGGTAGGTACAAACCTATTGATTCTGATGCAAATTAGAAGACAGGAAAAGATTGAATCACAGGAAAATCAATACCACCAGACTGCCTGGTGCTGCAGGCAGAGGAATCTCTCTGCCGCGCCCCCTGCTGCTGCTTATACATATCAAAGGCAGCACATTAACCTGCTGTGCGGGGAGCTTGGATCCTACCAGAAAGAAGAAAGCCTTTCAGGGAGGATTTTGAGAGGGGTGGGGAGGAGAGAATCCAGGACTGCAAGGATGAGGTAGTGGGGGAGTAGAGACCCAGAGAGAACTGAGGGGTGGCGGGTGAAAAGTGGTGGAGATGAGGGAAGCAGGGATGAGGGGGAAGGGGAGATACTGGGTGGATTGGCAGGGAAGCAGGGATCCATAGAGGGGGGAGCATAGAAGACAGGGAAAGGAAAGTGGCACTGGAGGAAGGGACCTGGAATGGGGAGGAATGAAGGAACCATGTCATGGGGAATGAGGGTGTGCACAGAGCCCCT